TAAAAGCATACCTGGACAGAAAATGCACACACTGGAACATTATCAGTCATGCATTGGGCTCCCCAGAGCCTGGACCTCGACATTATTTAAGCGGTGTGGGATCATCTTGACAGAGAACAGAACAAAAAAGCAGTCAACATCCAAAGGAGTGCTTTGAATGTCCTTTAATAAGCCTGGAGAACTATTCCTGAAGACTACTTTAAGAAATAACAAGAAAGCTCGAGTTCAAGCTGTGTTGAAGAATGACAGCGGTCATAAAAAATCTTGTATGACAAACAAATCTTGAACTGTACAAACCCTAATTTCTCCTCATATACTACATTTTCATCTGTGTTTGCAGATGTTTAAAACAATCCCTATGCACCTATTTTGCATTTTCCTAATAAAATGTGTGATAAATAAATGTGTCATATGTGATAGATAGCATGCAAGCTTATGAATGAAATACGTCAAACACATGCATTGGTGACAAAGGGATAACAATCCCTATATTTATCAATGTTTTGATGTATACAAAGCAGCTGCTGTGCATTAAATGACAAATATGTTATTGACATATCCATTAACCTTTAACGTTTTTATTGCTATTGTCACAACCAAAAAAAAAAAATCCAATTACTGAACACAGCTGACTCAAAAATGTATTATTTTAGGTTAAAGGTTTTAATGTTTCTACATCCCCACAGTATACTGCAAGAAACAATAATGCATGTTATTTTACAGATCTAGCAAGGGAGCAGTTAGCACAGCTCCATACTGTGAAATGCTACTATGGTTGAATTGAGAACAAGGTTGTGTGCAGGTGTGAAATGCACTATTTTCTCTGCTGTTCTAACATGTGTACAAGCTATTGTGTAACGTAGATTAACAGTACCATACTCAAATATGAATATTTTTCATCACACATGCATCAGTCGCCAAACTTTTGTCAAAATTGACAACACTGTGCCAGTACTGTGGCAAGCAGACAAATAGGCCGGCCCAATGTACTGCTTCAATTTCATTTTGGAGGAGAGAAAACCTTGATTCGTGAAGCTGAGAGCAAGCGATTGTCATTTTGTGTAGCCCATTTGTGTTGAGTATTCACAGTGGGAACAGCGTGGGTCTGCAGGGGATAAAGACAGGCTCCAGAGGTGAGCACTTACAAACCGTGGCTGTCTGACAGCATGAATATGTATTTTTGACCATTCCAGTTTCAAGGTTTCAAGCTGATTCTTCTACTCGGAGTCTTCTCACAATTACTCTTTTTTATCACATATTTCTTATTCGTGCCTGTGTTCATTATGCTTTTCAAATCCACGGTGAAATATTTTAAAATGGGGTAGAAGTTATATTTTACAGTGTTCTCTGAGTCAAAAGGAAAAGAAACGAAAGTAAGTGAAAGGAATGTGTCTTTGTGGCTTTGTAGTATTTATTATTATCCTCTCAGCAACCCTCATCCCCTTCCCCATTCCTTCCCGCTTTACTGCGCTGTAACAGGTTGACTTTAGCTTCTTTGCTCCCTATTTCTTCATCTGACACGACTGATCTTTTGAGTCCAGAGTCTAAAGTTTAGCCAGGGAGAACAAGAGGAGAGCATCACATCCCTCACTTGTAGCATTTCACAACACGCACAGATTTTTTTTCCAGGCTTCCTCTGCACGCTGAGATCGCCCGCCCCCTCAGTGTAGACATTTTGTAGTGTGTGACTAAATGATGAATGGTGTTACAATAATTTGATGAGATTGGGTCAGATGATGCAAGGGAGAGGAGTGCAATCATAATGTTCTTCTTGATGTCTTACTGCTTATTATGCTGCATAAATGATCCCCCAGACACCCACGCCTTCTTTGAACTGATCCCACCCGAGGGTGACACGTTAGCAACCTGTCTAGAGCTGGCGTAGCCTTGGGAGAGCTTTTCGCGTCTCAGGTGTTTAACAAGCTCTGCTGGGGCACCACGATGGAACTGAGATTCCCGAATCAAGCGCCAGGCCCCCTTCGCACACCTCCCTTTGCGTGCCTGATTCATCCCACCCCCTCCCCGCAAGCGTCCTTCAGACCATCTCCCATCATCCTTTCTCCCCTTGCTCTTCCTCTCTTCCATCCACACTCCACCTCCTTCCTCCTCCTTCGGAGCGCCTGTGTGCGCTCCACTCTGCCGTCTTTCCTTCAACACATGCCAGGACTCCTGGGGCAGCAGTTACAGAGCAAGGATTTCATTTGAAATAGCTCCTCGGGACGTCATTATAAGGATCATCGCCGGGCCTTACGGCTGATGTTACATTAGTGTTCCATCACACACGGAGGGCCTTCAAAGCACCTAATAGCCAGCTCGCTCATCACATAAATTTATCTCTGAGATTGGCAACGTCACATGAATCTGTAGCTGACCATTCTCATGTGTCAGTGTAATCAAGAAGATGAACAGCCATTAGTCTGTCGTAAAACATGGCACAAGGTCATTGAATGTGTGACAGGTAATGAGATAGTCTGACACTAGAGGGATTTTAGTTGTGTTTTGCAACACTTGTTGCATTGACCTTAAATACAACCGTATCTTTAAACTTGATAATTTCCCAGTTGGGTTTCTGGATAACAGTGTGTCATTGCTGTTATCCAGAAAAAGACACAATACTTAATGTTTTCACCATACATGCATGTTTTCGCATGCTTATACTTTGAATGTCAGAAAGTATGTAACTAGACTAGAGAATTGCATAATTGATATGTAGCTATGCTTTTTGACAACACTAAATACATTGTAAGTCACTTATAATCATTAGGGTACTTTAAGTAAAAATAGCATCAACCCCAACAGGTTTAACCATGATTTCAATAGGCTGTATTATCTCTGGATAAGAACATATAAAGCACTTGTACAACTGATGGAAAAAGTCATTGCAGAGATAAGAAGAGCAGGTCTGCAGCCTGAGATTATATACGGCTACATTTTACGTCAGTGCCACACCGTCCCATCTCTCTTTATTCATTAGCCACTCCTATTGAGACAGCCACAGAATTCACCCATATAGCACACCCAGGCCATCCCTTTATCCAGCCTACTCAACCTTATTAGTCCAGTCTTTCTTTCTCTCCATCCATTTCATTCCATCCTCTCATATCCATCCAGCCATTTTATCCTCCATTGATTGCAAACAGAGGACATACAGTATCTGAAGTGAAACAGAATGAATATTAAGTGGGTTGCAGTTGGATCACTGTACTAAAGTAAAGAGTCTTTTTTTCAACGCTCTCTCTCGTTCTTTATCATCTCTGGCTCTTTCAGTCAGCTCCACGATAAAGCTGGCACCATGTAAAGTGGCATGAGCGCCATCAGCCATGCAGATGAGTCTGCTTCCTTTACCTTAATTAGAGCTCTCAGGGGAGTGGGTCTGAGGGGTATGAGCATCAGCCGCTCATACCACAGAGATACCTTTCATTAAGCTCAGTTATACCAAGAGCAAAACTGATGTGGTTACAGTGGCTTAGCTGCTTATTATATTCCTGCATGTTATCCAAATCTTTTCACTTTAAGCGAGGGCAGAAATGCCTTTTGTGTTTTACTTGCAGATAGTATAATCCCCAAAAGACGAGGGAAACAGGGGTGCTTTAAAACAGTCTTACACTGTGCGTGCACATGTCTTGTGAGATTTTATGAATTCAGTTGGTTAAAGTGGAACATTGATTTGATAAAGTGATACTCGAATCAACAAGAAAATTATCGTTAATAATCTGGATGGTCACTTCATTTATTTATGTATTTAGATTATTTTAATAAGCGAATATATATATATGGATGCACAACAAGGGTAGCATTAATTAAGCATTAATTACTATTTCATGACATTAAACTGTTAATGAATAAATAGTGGAAGTAATCAATACCGGTGATCATTCAAAGCACTGATCTCTCTCTCTCTCTCTCTCTCTCTTTAT